TTTTTTAATTTTTATTATTATTATTTATTTTTAGTATTTGATTTCTATTTCAAATTTGGTAACGAATTTGGATGTAACGTTGAGACAAATGTTGTTTAGTTTATTCTTCTGCATAACATATATGTTTTTCAAATCTTTTAGATTTTTTTTTTTTTTTTTTTTTTTAGGGTCCGCGTTCAGCCGAACGGCCGAACGCGTCATGAGGGGGTGCCGAACGTTCGGGCGTTCGGGTTCGGGCGTTCGGCCCGTTCGGAACGCCGGCAACCCTGCATATATGTATTTATTTAAAAAATATATATATATATATATTTATAGGAAAATAATCTAGGCTACCAGTCGGGCCGCCCGGGTCCCGGGTGGCCAGCCCGTGCAAGGATCAGGTAAGGTCCCAGCAAAAAAAAAAAAAAAAAAAAAAAAAAAAAAAAATTCTGAAAACAAAATTATGTTATGCAGAAAAATAATCTGAACAACTTTTGCCTCTGGGTTACATCGAAATTCTTCACCAAATTAAAAATAAAAAATAAAATTTAAAAATATTTTATTTATTTTTATTTATTTTAATTATTCTGGCCCGGCTGGGCAAGTGACCCCGGGCCACTCTGGTAGCCTAGGAAATAGTAGAATAAAAAATAAAAAATAAAAATAAAAAATAAAAAATAAAAAAAATATAAATAAAGAAATAAATAAATAAATAAAATAAAAAGTAAAAAATAAAAAATAAAAAATAATCAAGATAATTAAAATAAATAATAATAATAACACACCAGAATAATATTAACTAATCAAAAGATCAAAGTAGGTCAAGACTCAAAAGTTAATAAAACTCCTCCCATGAAAACACACACGCGTACATGTGACATCAGGCCCCACCGCCCAATTAAAAAACTAAAAACTGGTTTAAATAGCATTAATATAATAAATTATAAAATATCAGCGACCATAATAAAGAATAAAGAACTAATATAGGAAATAAAAGAATAAAATTAAATAAACACACATCATAACACGAATAGCCAACTTTTTTCTCCCTCCATGATAAAAATCGCCTAAGCTTGAAACCCCGCAATGTACTAGACTTGCATGCTGATATAGTTAAAAGAAATACACCGTCTTAAAAATATTTTTCCATTCCTTCTTTTTCCATAACGCCCATTCAAACAGACCCTTGTAGCAATCGCTTAACTTAATAATATCGCACTCATGACAGTTGAATCTGAACCCACAGACGCAACAACTAAAATAATACAAACAATAAACAGTCTAGTCCTCAATGGTTGTTCTAGACACAAACTCTTCGGTTCGGACGTGTGTGCAAGCCAAAAAAATGCTGGCTTTTTTTTTTTTTGTGCAAGCCAAAAAAATGCTGGCTTTCTTTTTTTTGTGTGCAAGCCAAAAAAATGCTGGCTTTCTTTTTTTTTGTGTGCAAGCCAAAAAAATGCTGGCTTGGTTCGGATGGAGGGCCTACCCAAGATGTGGTAGGTCCTAAATCCAATAAAAAACATAGTGACCTACCCCACCCGGACCCCCATTACAAGGGAACGGGAAGGGAGACACACACACACACACACACACACACATACACACACACACACTTTTTTTTTTTTTTTTTTTTTTTTAAATCGAATCTGTCTTTTTTTTTTATCGGGGCCCAGTGCCCAAGGCAAAATACAAGATGTGAAGGAAAAGGTCCAGATTTAGGGGTCGCAAGGTCTCCAATCCTTCTCTGTGAGGTGGAGCCCCTCCCCTGTAGCCAAAAGCAGTAAATCAGCAGAAAACAAAAGGCCACAAAAGATAACAAAAAGGCTACATGTAATCAAGGAAATTAATTCCAAAAAAGGTACAACAGAAAACAAGTCAACTACTTGTAGTCAAAGAAACTAAATCCAAACGAAGCTAAGGCCACAACACACACACTTTTTAAATCTTTCCATTATTACGACTCTCATATATATAAATATATGTAGTTAAAAAGAAATAATAAATAATATATATATATTTTTATAAAAAATAAAGAATAATAATACAAAAATCATAAAATATTAAATAAGTAATAACTAAAATTTAAAAGATTTAAAATTGATAATATAAGCATAATAAGATAATTGCTAAAATGATAAAATAATAATAGTAATAATAATAAATAATTTAAAATTAATTAATAGTAAATAAAGGTTAAATATATATATATATATATATATTTTAATTTATATTCAATAAATGATAGAAAAAGTAATTATAAACTATGAATGCAAACCTTTAAATAATCGGCACCTCTAACACTGGTAGGGGTGTGTTTAAAAAAAAAAAAAAAAAAAAAAAAAAGTATCCACCCCACCACAACCCCTTATAACCCACTATAACACAAATCCCCACACCGAAAATACAACACCATACCCTAGACCTTTACAATACTAACAAAATAACCCGCACCTACATACCACAATAGCAACACCTCGCATAACGGTTATGGGACGATCCCTCGGATCGCAGAGAGAACACACGTTTCTGATACAAAAAAAGGGAATAAACAAAACACTTTCATGCACAAAAAAAACCACAAACGTGTCCACCTTAAAATCACTGTATGCTCCACAGCCGAAACGCAAAACGACAACAACAAAAAACACCACTCCGAAACGACACACCTGACACACCAAAAAAACAAAAACTGCACGCGAACACGACAAAAAAGATCTGACACTCCCCGCCCCTTCCATAGCCTATCCATCACTTAATACGACGAGAAAACCCATACCACTACACAATCTGACACATCACGAAACAAACACAAACACGGTAACCCGACATCGCTAATACTGAAGATGCGCGAACTCTACCTCCACCACGAGACAAACACGAACTCTGCAAACGCGAGAAGAATAACCCCACTCGGCTTCCCCCTCCAAACAACTTTACTTCCTTCTTACCCCCCCCTCCCCTGCCCACAAACGGTAACCCGACATCGCTAATACTGCCGACGAGCGAACTCTACCTCCACCACGAGACAAACACGAACTCTGCAAACGCGAGAAGAATAACCCCACTCGGTTTCCCCCTCCAAACAACTTTACTTCCTTCTTACCCCCCCTCCCGCCCACAAAAAAATACACGACTTTTTCCCCCCCAAGATGGAGCCATTACCCCCACCCCCAACCTACCCCAGCTATGCCCCCCCAATACAACCAGCATGTAATATGACATAACACGACATTATCGACATATACTCCTTGCCTGCTCACCATGTTCCTCCTCTTCAAAAGTGCCCGCCGTTACAGCTGCGAGCAAGCACACACAGCACCGCATTCGTGCTAGCATGCGCTGATACTGTCTCCTTCACCTTCTGCCACTACTCCTCCCCTACTCTCTCCTCGCACGAGCACACTTGCTCGCGTGCTGATCCTGTACCTGGCTCCGGTGTGTTGTACGAGAGTGCGCTTCGCGCTGTGCTTACACTGTAAGCCACCTAACACTACGCTGCATGACCACGCTTCGTGCTATGGCGACGACTGATCTTCTAGCGACACCGGCCATGACCGCTCAGGTATGGAATCCTAACCCCATCCCCCATAAATCCCAACGATTATTGCCCTACGACCTCTGACGACCCTCTCTATTTCCTCCCCCCCAGTTGCTAACAGGAGCCTATACTAAACTAATCCCTCTTATGAGCTGCTATGGGTGCTAGGCGGCGAAAAGCGCGCTTAAGGGCGTGCACCCCCCCTATGGATGTCCTCAACAGCCATCGCTAACCATAATTACTAACTTAATCACTAAAATGCTCCCCCATAACCTTGATGACAAACCCTCTTGCATCCTCGCAGATGAGTTGATGGCTAAAACACCCACTATGTTTAAACTGTTGCTAACTTGTCGTGATATGACAAATGTGATGTTCTTGTTTCCCGTATGTACGGGGTGGCCGTGTTTTCACACACCCACTATACACACGCACACACACACACACACACAAACACATGCACACACACACACACACACACACACACACACACACACACACACACACACACGCACACACACACACACACACACACACGCACACACACATGCATACACGCTAGCACACACACACACACATACTCTCTCTCTCTCTCACGCGCGCGTGTTTGCTGAGAGGCAGACAAAGAGAGAGGGAGCGCACCCTCTAACATAGCGCCACGCCTATGTGCGAGGGTGTTTTTTTTTGTGTGAATCAATCAATCAATCAAGCATTTAATCAATCAACAATCAACAATCAATCAATCAATCAATCCATCAATCCATCAATCCATCCATCTATCAATCAATCAATCAATTAATTTTTATTTCTTTATTTTGTTCATTTCCCCATTTTGATTATTTTTATTTTAAAAAAATATAAAAAAAAAATAAATGGGGGTGTAGAGCACGAAAAGCTCTACATCCCCATAGTTTTTATTATTATTTTTCCTTTATTTTTGGGGGGGGGGTTCATCAGTTTGTACGGGACCGTTCATATGGCCGTACCATCGTCCGTACAGCCGTAAGTACGGCCGTACGATTAGAGCCCTGTACGACGTACGGGGTGCAACACAGGTTAACGGGTTGCAAGAAACCTCCTGGACGCTATTATAAGGGGAGACCTCGGGATGGCTGCAATGTGTGTGCACCGACGATACAAGGTCGGGCCAGGTAGGTGTGTGGAGGAACCGGATGGTTATTCCTGGGCCTGTTGCGGTGTTGGTACCTGATTGTTGGATGGTTTGGTCCTCGTGAGGCCAGTTTAAGGGGTTCGTTCCACACTCCTCTAGGCATCCTCGGGGCTCGAGGACGAATCCTTGGAGTCGCCCGAGGAAATTCCCGCCTTCGTTCCACTCATCCTCGGAAATGTTCCCCGAGGACGATTCCTTGGTGCTCCCGCGGCCTGTTGCATATTTCGACACGCGGACGCGGGGGGGTTGGGGAGGTTGGTCCAGCGGGTTGTGTCCGTGGCGTTGCCCTTGGTCCAGGAGCAGTGGGCGGAGCGAATTCGAATTTACGCGGCGAAAAAAAAAAAGCTACGAAAACGGCGCGCAGTCCCGGATTCGAATTTCGAAATTCGAATCGCAGTAAGTGAATGACGGTGGCGCGTGTGTCCCTTACGGCTGACGGCAGCAACGTTCGTCGGCGAGACTGTTTCGGTACGGAGTGGCGGCTTCGTGGCGTCTGCTGGCACGCCTTCGTCCATGAGTACGTCCGAAGCAGCACGACCGCCGTCACAGGATCGCCAACGTTGTGTGCTTCGCCACCCGCACCTTCGCCGTCGACGTGCACGCCGTACAGTCGGGTTTTCACGACGCGCCATCGCCGTTGTTCCCACCGAAGTCGAGCCTTCTTCAGTTCGCGAGGACGAGCGATGGACGTGGACGGGGACGCGGTTCATGACACACTCAGCAAGGCGGAGAGGGCGACTGTAGCAGCGGCTGTGAACATGATACTCATCAGGTGTCAATTGCAGAGGACGGAGGGGAGGATGAGAGCAGCCATTCGCGCACGCCGGAAGAAGACGTTGCAGTCCATTCATGTGGACGAAGAGGGCAGTGGTGCCATTTGCGATGCTGTCCTTCAGGTATGCTATGCCATGGGGTGTGGAGCGTTTCCCAGAGCGACGGCGAGGTGGTGGATGAAGCATCGAATAGGGGGTGTGTGGGAGGATCTGCGGCAATGCGACGACGCCACGGAAGACTACTTCAAGGACAAGCTGCGCATGTCGCCACGGGTGTTCCGGGAGATAGCGGAAACTCTGTCTCCCTTCCTTCAATGGCGTGTCACGTTTTAATAGGAGCCCCTCCAGCCTGACCTCATCGTAGCATTCGCTTTGTACAGATGGGCGTCGGGGGAGACGTACGAGAGCGGGACCTGCAGCTTCGGCATTGGCAGAAAGTCTGGGTTGGTGGTTGTGCGGGATGTTACTTCGGCGTTGCTGAGTGCGTACTGCGACAAGATATCGTGGCCAACGGGGCTGCAAAAGGCGGTCGTCTCGCACGCTTTCGCTGACAAGGGTTTCCCCAACTGCCATGGCTGCATCGATTCTACCCACATCTTCATCGACAAGCCAGCCAATTGCCCCGAAGAGGACTACTACAACAGAAAACGTCGTTTCTCCGTCCAGGCTCACGTGGTCGTCGATATGAACTTGCGCGTGCTGGATGTGTTCTTCGAATACCCGGGGAGCTGCCACGACGTGAGGATCGTCCACCTGTCCAATTTGTGGGCGCGTGCAGAGGCAGGGGAGCTTTTCACTGGGCCATCTGTCATGCTACCTTTCAGTGTGCGAACGAACGGCTATCTACTAGGCGACAACGGTTACCCCCCCTCGGAATGGGTAGTCATCCCCTACGGCGGTGTATCACAGCACCCCTCGGAGATTCGGTTTGACAACAAGCAGAAGACGGTGAGGGGAGCAGTTGAGAGGGCTTTCGGCAGATTGAAGGGGATGTGGAGGTTGTTCCTTCGCTCCCACAAGACGAACATGGAAACGTTAACGCAGCAATTCGTCGCCGTCTGCATTCTGCACAACATACTCATCGACGCGGGCATCCCGTTCGACGACGATTTGCTGTGGGAGGTCGGCCCGGACGGTGTTCGTCGCAGGGTGGACCTTGGGATGCACCGCCCGTTGAGGCAGATGTGTATGGAGTCGTCGACGGGGGATGCGCTGATCCTGCAGGATGCACTGGCGGAGCAAATGGGTACGCAGTGAAGACGAGCAGCCGTCGGGAGCGGGCGGCATGCATATATATATATATATATATATATATATACAGAGAGAGAGAGAGAGAGAGAGAGAGAGAGAGAGAGAGAGAGAGAGAGAGAGAGAGAGTTAACGGGTCGGTGGGCGTTGGCGTGCATGCGGTGGCTTGTCTGGCACACTTTAGTTTCCTGTACTTTCGCATTGCGCCGCACTTAGGAGGTTTTCGCCGGGTGGGGTTTATGGCGATGGCACAGTCCATCTCGTCGGCGGCGGGCGTTTCGTGATGCGTGTGTGGTTGTAGGTCTTTGCGACGATTTGCAATGTGGTGCCACCGTCAGTGACGGGTGTGAGTGACTGAGGCCATTTTCGGGTTTTTTTTTTTTTTTTTTTTGAGGCTGGTCGGGATCGAAGTTGCCTTCAAGGCCTGTTACATCGTAACTGTGACGTGTTGTGCTTTTGCCGGGAGTGACAGCATGAAGATAACATATCTTGTAATCTTTTTTTTGATGTCGTGGAGGTTGTTCTCCGTGTTCGTGACGAATGACAAGTATTTTGTTAAAGAGAGAGACGCTGTGTGTGTGTCATTTTTTTTGCCTTCGTCTGGGCACGCATTTGGAATGGGTTGTGTGAGAATTCATCAATCTGTTATAGAGCACTTGTTGAATCATACATCCGTCACCACTTTCCATGTCGTTGCAGCCCTGACAATCGTGAATGCAAATGAAAAGGGAACGCGAAGGAGTTGATATGAAGCTGTAGACATCATCAATAATGAGAGATACAAGAAACGACAACATCGTCCAGACATCATGAAAAGCAACGAACACAAGAAGCGACAACCTCCTTAAGTAGGGCCGTCATCAATACCAATGACAGGTGTCACATGTTGGTTGTTACAGACGCGGACATCGATTTCTTAAGACCTGAAACAAATAACAGAAGAAAAAAAAAAAGTAAACCATGACAAAAACATACGCTAATTACACACCCCGACGGTGACCTGTCCGCCACGGCGATCAACCACGAACGCACGTCGTCTACCAATCAACCACATCCAATCCCCCAACCCCGCCACCCCCCCTCCCTTCTACCGTTTTTCCCTTCTTTATCATCTTCGCCACCGAAAGCTCCTAGGCAACGAAATCGGACTGCCAGCCACGATGTATGTACAGAAAGGGGATGATGGTTGGTTTGCCGTCGAAAAACAAGCCACGGCAGAGGAGCATCACGCGAGGAAAAACTACATAGATGACTAAAAGGCGTCATCGACCCCCCCCGCTTCCCTGTTCGTCGCCTTTCCCGTCGTCTTCGTCTTCCCGGGGGCCTGTGCCCAGCCAATCCACCTTCTTCGCCTCCATCGGGGAAAACAGCGTGGCGTCGTGTGAGAGCTTCACACCGATGGACGCCCAGTCGGGAACATACATTGGAGGGTCGATCAAAGTGATGGGGGGACTCGCCAACTTGTCGGTGATTACGGTCGCAGCTTGCACGATGTGCCGACGAGCATCGAAGCAGCGATGCATGGATGCGACGAGCGTCGACTTCGCCGTGAGTTGGACGAAGACCCAGGCGTCGTAATGCGCGCGATGATCGTCACCCGCCATCCGCATGAGCCACATGGTCGCCGCGAGCATTATCCGCATCGCGTCGGCCATGGTCTTCAACCTTTCGTGCGATACACGGCCGCCGTCCGTCGCCTCCACAATGATCACGGCGCTCGTGAAAGCCCCCACCCGTCGCTGGATACTCGCCTCCTGATAAGCCGCCAAGCCGTCGTCGTCGTGCCTATCTTCGACGTCGGCGCCCACGAACCAGAAAGGTAGCTTCATATCCATGTCGAGCGTGTGGTGGACGACCATCGGACTCACACCGTGACAATAACGCTAGTCCTCCCCCATTTACATCGCGCGAGCGATGTCGGTGGCTGCGTGGTTGAGTGCGTACTGGTACGCCGCGTGGTACCCCCTTTGCCTGTTCTGAGACTTGAAGACCCACCCGTGTATCACCCGCAAAGCGATCCCCTGAACCTTTAGCGCCCTCTCCTTCGCAGCGTTTAACTCCGACTCGTCCGTGATCTTGTGCTGAGGGATGTTGTTGTGAGGCAAGACGATGCTGCGACGAATGGCCGGAGGCTGCTCTCCCCTCGCCACAGCCACAAGATAACCGCGTGCCTCCACGATCAACTTGACGATGACAAATCCCTCCCTCTCGTTCCAGAACCAGAGGTCATCCACCCACAGCTTCGCCGCCGCCTCCATTCCTTCCCGCGTATTCCGCTGGCGCAGCCTGTTCACCAATGGGTCGTCGTCGTCCCCCTCCCCAGCGACATCGCCTGCCTTCACCCCTGCCGTCGCCCCTTCCCCCGCGTTTGATCCCTCCCCCCCTGCTGCGTGGCCTGCCCTCGCCACCATCCCCGCGGGTGACCCCCGCCCACTAC